ACCACCACCACCACCACCACCCTAAGCCCTCGCTTCCCTGCTTACCCTCTGCTCGCCTTGCACTTCCTTCTCCGAAATGGTCGGCGGGGATGGCGTGAAAGGCACAGAGGAATGGTGAAGGAAGATTCGCACCTCTGCATGGATTTTTCCGCCTTTCAAAGGAGGCCTACGCTATCATCCCTATCTCTGGATTGCCTAAATACCCGGGCTGAGAAGTTACACATTTCTGGCAGCCACTCCTTGCCGTCCGCATTCTTCCTGTAGCCGAACCTGGGCTCTCATTGATAATCTCGGAGTTGGGTAGTCTTTATTGCACACTTATAGACAAATTGAAAATCTTCAACAGTTTTCGAAGAGACGTATACTCCACCTTGGTCTTGCTTCCATCGGCGCAGCTAGTGAAATAATAGTTTCCCATAGCAATAGCAACCTCGCCCATCACGTTGATCTGGTGGTTGTCAAAGACCACCTCAGACCAGCCCTTGCCACCGTTGATGGCAAAGCCTTTCAGGTTGACACGTCAGTCCGCTAGAAAGGGAAAACCCCTTCCCAAAGGGTCCATGTAGTTATATGGTATATGCGGGCTTCAAAGCAGGTATATGGGAACCCCTTCGGGCCCTAAGTATATACCAATATACCTACATGGACCCTTTGGGCTTGTGATGAGGTTATTTGAGTAGCTTTTTTTGGTGGTTGAACCTAGTAAGATTATATTCCTTATATGAAATACTATACATAGCTCTTATTAGTGGGGGAGAGGGTTTAGGCAGCGGTGCACACTTCCTGTTGGGAGTTCCCTCACAAAAGGGAACTTATGAGTGAATTGAAGGTACAAACCCATGACCCTAAACCCTAAACCCTAAACCCCAAAAACCCTACACCCCAAATCCTAAACCCCTGAAACCCTAAACCCTAAGCCCCAAATCCTAAAACCCTGAAACCCTAAACCCTAAACCCCTAAACCCTACGCCTGCATCCTCGGGAATTCCTTCATCCACAGCATGGCTGCCCACGAAATAGGACATGGCCTGTCGGTTTAGAGATTAGCGATTCCGGTTTAGGGTTTAGTTATAAGGTTTAGGGTATAGAGTGTAGGGCTTTAGGGATTAGGGTTTAGGGGTTTAGGTTTTGGGGTCTAGGGTGTAGGGTTTATAGGGATTAGGGTTTAGGGTTGGGGGAATCAGTGTGAAAAAGAACATGGAAGATGAAATGAAAACTACGGGATTGATAGAGGTTTATATTGGGCAACTATGCTGGCTACCCCATGCAAACCTATCATGAGGACGCTAGACGGCTCGCATGATAGCTTTAGGCATTCTATCCTGCTAGCCTGGGTTGGGGCTACCGAAATCCTCTTATTACGGGTGTAAGGTTTCCTGAACCAACAGCCATCCTAATCCTTAAATCCTAGACTCCAGATCCCTCAAGACCCGTAAGCCCTAAACCAAAAACCCCTGAAACCCAAACCATCAACCCCAAGCCCTGATCCTTGGACTCCCAATAAGCAAATTCCATGTCTTCAAGCTACCCCCCCATAAGAGGCCGCTACAACCCTCTTGTCCTCTCAGGGCCCGAGCCCCCCCCCCAAACCCTAAACCCTGACCCTCTAGACCCTAAACCCCTAAACCCTAGAGAAACTTTTCGTTTCTTGCCTGCGACGCCATCGGACGGAACTGGCAGTCCTTTGCCTGGGGGTGGGCTTTCAAGCGGCTTGTGTATCTATGGATATGGGGAGGGATATATGGGGATAGGTAGGGATAGCTAGCGATATGTGGGGATGTGGGGAATGTAAGGTTGAGGGTGGATACATCTGTAAGGTTGTCGCAAAGTTATTCTTTCCAAAACGGTCCTAAGGTAGATCCCTTTTTGGTTAGGACGCTGCTTTATGGAAGTGTAGTCCTGATGGTCCTTTCTCTACGAGGACCCTTCAGAACAATCTCCATGTAGGCATATGTAGAGGATAATTATGGGGAATGTGAGGTTAGGGTCTAACCCTCAACCCTCAAGCCTAAATCCTAAACCCTATTCCCAAACAAGGAGCTGCTCCTTGCGTTTGTGGAGTATAGAAGTGGACCCCTTTTTTCCGAGACGAGGGCTGTGCCGGGGCTTGAGAACCTAAATCCTTGAAACATCCTGAACAATTGGGGGAAATGTTTCCCCAATTGTTTCGTACTTGAAACATCCTAGATCCTGAATTCAAGTCGTAGAGCCGAAGCTCTAAATCCTAAATCCCAAACCCAAGTCCCCTAATATCCTAAACTCAAAACCCTAATCGTAAGCCCAAAGCCTTAAACTCTAAGGGATTTGGAACCCCAGTAGAAATTACAATTTCAGCTAAATATTAGGATTCTAGGTAACAGAAATTATACACTATTTTCAGGAACCTTGTAGCAAACCCGGCCCTAAACCCGAACTCGATCCTTGGTGGGCTTGAAGAGCACGTTGCAGTGGCCGTAGGCGTAGAGCTCCCCAGCGGCCTTGCCAGCTACGGTGATGTAGTCACCGCCCTCAAGGTAGACCTGTTTCAGGGTTGTGCGGGGGGAGGGTTGGGGGTTTGGGTGTTTAGGGTTTCGGATTGCTTTTTTGGGGGGGCATGGGTTGGCTCCGGATCCGGATTCCCTCAATCCTAAGTTCTCCACCCCTATCCACGCCTTGGAGATGTTCTTGATGGCATCCGACCACGCCTTCTGGGCGACGCGCACTTCGTTCTCAGACACCTCGAGCAGCGAATCGCTATCTGCTGTCACTCCCTTGAGAATGCTTCAGTCTTACACGGTGTCTTCATCGTTCCGATCCCGTAGCAGCTCCACATGAAGAACCCATAAGTTAAGAAATGCGATCTGCGCCGTTCTATTCTTTCTTCCGCAACTACTCGGAACTTCTGCCCCTACTCACCCCACCCCACCGCCTTCATCTGCTTGGAAGACATTGCTGCGAGCGGCTAGGTTAGATGCAGCACACCGAGAGATGAGACCCAAAACGGCTTCAGGTCCACATGGGTTGTTCTCAAAATCATGGGCATATAAGGCTTGCAGGCTTAAAGGGTAATATGGGGTTGTATAGGCATAGGGACTATATAGAGATGATATAGGGAATAAGGGAAAATATTCAGGTCCACATACCATGCCAGCAAGCAGTCTAGGCTGGAAGGTTAGGGGTTGCCGCAAGCTGCCACTGCAGTTCGCCGCTGCAGTTCGCGGTTCACACACCTTCTTGGGTACCAGGTACCAAACACAAAAAAAGGGAATACTATCAAATGTAGCCGAAATAAAGCTACTGATTTACTCAGGCTTCTACATAAGATGCCTTTACGCGCTAGGATTGGTATGTAGAGAACTGGAGATATAAGAGGGCTATGTAAAGGCTTCTGCAAAAGCAAAAGATAAACTCCTCGCCTGAGTAGCGTCTCTTTGCTGCTTGAACCTAATAAGATTAGATTCGTCCATTATAAACGGCGGATTGAACCTTAGCCTCTCTATCTTGGGCACTACAGGAACACCAAGGCAGCTACTACTGCTAGCCTGAAATTCCCTAGACTCCCCCTAGACTCCCTAAACCCTAAACACTATAAGCCAAAAGCCCTCCCCCACCCCGTGGCAGAAGCCATGCAAATGAGCTACAGTCAGCATTTCCCGCATAATTAAGGGACATGGGATCCTATTTAGGAAATATGTTATGGAGTATACTACACTACCAAAAAGGGACTCCCACATCCACCCTTGGTAACCAACCCTACGCACTGAACCCTAAACCCTAAACCCTAAAAACCTAAAACCCTAAACCCCTGAACGCTAACTCTGTGACCCTAAACCCTACACATTAAACCCTAAACCCGAGTTCAAATGGCCGGCCGCGCCATCCAAACGGCGCACCTGAGGCCGCCTTCGGTGTTTGGTGCAGCTTTGGGAAGTTGGTCGAAAAGGAGGGCAATTAAGGTTTAGTATATAGGTTTTCGATTTTAGGTTTTAGGGTTTAGGGTTTCAGGGTTTAGAGTTTAGGGTCTAGGGTTAGGGTACTACGTGGCACTTAGGACCCCCACCAGGGATGTCCAAGCTAAATCCCAAAGAGTTTTGGAGTCATGTAAGGCTTATTTCAGGGTTAGAATGGGTTCAAGGTTTAGTTTTGGGGTTCAGGGTTAAGGTACCTTAGGGATATGCGGTGATGAGATTAGGGGGATTTGCGTGGTCGCCATCATGGATAATATCGGGAGAACTATCAGAGACTCCCGAATAACCCCTTCCAACTGATACTGAACACCCCCCTGCTCTTACATTCAAAATGTGTCGGAACCCCTGAATAAGGATTATAATAGTTGGGATTATCATTGATTCGGACTCTTCGTATTTCTGGATTTGAATATTTGGGATTCTTACTAGTTAGGGGTCTCCCTATTTCTGGAAACTCCCATTTCTTCCGGAGGAGTCGTCGGACAGGAAGGAAACTAGATTTAGGGTTTAGGGTTTACAGGGTTTAGGGTTTAGAGTTTACAGGGTTTAGGGTTTAGGGTTTACAGGGTTTACAGGGTTTAGGGTTTATAGGGTCTAGGGCTTACCTGGAATGCCCGTCGTCAAGATTGTTGTGTAATTTTGCCAAGCTGTGTGGAGGAAGTAGCCCCCTTTCCTAGTAGGAGTTACGGTTCTGGGTTTTCTTGGTGGTTGGCACTCCCTAGACCCTCCTAAACCCTAAAGCCCTAAACCCTAAAACCGAAACCCTAAACCCTGGGTAATATCGAAAAGAGGCATTGGTTCCTACAAGCAGTAGCCTCTATACAACCCACAACTTGACATGTCGTTTCCATCTTTTCTTTCTTTCACTCACTACAAACCACCTTGCAACCCAAATCCTAAACCCTAAACTCCTCAACCCTTAGTTGTGGCTTCCATTTTCTTTTCGATTGCCCGCTACAGCAATGCTTGGGGCTCATGGAGAAAGTCTGTAGGCTGAGGTCTTTCTTTGGTTTTCGGGTTTCATTAGTGATCACGGTCGAGGGTGCCAATTAGGACCTCTATGAGACCTAGGTCCGGCATCCTAACCAGGACACCACTAAATCTTGCATATAGGATTAAAGAGCCCCTCTTTATCCACATATTCCTGGGGTCCCTTCGCATATGCTCCAATAACGGTCTGAACCAATCGAGACTGAGAGACTGGTTTTTCAATCGTAGATCGATTTGCCTGGAAAACTCAAGATTCTAGGTTCCCCGGTAACCCTCTACTAATAAGGGTACCTTTTGCCTACAGTTCTGCTTAAATAAGGAGACCCTGAAAGAAGAAGGGAAACAGGTACCACTGGGGTACCTAGATTTCAAGTTCCTAGTTCCGACAGCCCCCATCTTCCGGCAGTGCTTCGGGGCTCGATGTGGGAGTTTTTCGAAATGGGGAGCTCCTTGGACCCCAATGGGATATATAGGAACTATAAAGGATTTAGGGGTTGCTTTTAGAAACACATGAGCTATAGTCTTAACTCCGTAAAGTTACATAGGGATATGAGGCTTATTCAGGCTATTCAGGGGGATACTGGAAGTTGAGACCCTAAATCCTAAACCCTATACCCTAAACCCTAAAGCGCTAGCTCAGCTCCGGCCGTGGTGTGCTTTGACATTCTGACGGCTTCTTTCTGGGGTGACAAGGTTTCTACCCTTTCCACCTATGATAAGATCATTAGCTGAACTCCTGGTATCCCCCGAAAACCCCCCATTATACTCCTCTATATAACCCCCTTTAAGGCATGTAGAATATAGCCTTATTTTGAATCGACTTAAGATCGTTCCTAAGGGGATAGGAGGTTCAAGGCCATAAGAATGCACCCAGCTCCCCCCACGCCATTCATTCCCCCCCACTAAAAAAGCCCGCAGGATGCAGACTGGTGCCCCCTGACACCGAAGCAAGGGCCACTCAGCGCTGCTTGTATGAAACGCTCAGGGAAACAGGAAGTTTAGCAATTTCACCCCTGAACATAAGGGCAATGATGATCTTCCGGCCGCAAGCCACTTGGCTTCTAGTCAGAAGGGAGGAAAACAATCTTTCGTAATCTTTCTCTATAACATGGTGAGAGAGCTTTGCAGGGATCAGTTCTTTGGACCGCAAGGCGTCCAGAGCGCCAAAGAGCCTGGAAGGCGACATCACTGCCTCTTGTCTCTGCGCTGCTCCTTGTGTTTTTTGATGAGCGACTCCATGTCGCCCTCACTGTCTTCAGCCTCCTCTCCAATGATGTGCACGCAGTGGCCCTGCCATCCTTCCTTTGGCCTTACCCACCGCCACCTGAGCCACAGCGTGGAGACCCAGAGGCCGACCTGAATGCCTGGAAATCCAAATTAGAAAACCTACCAGCCGGCTGTCGACCATTCAGCTTCTAGCGGATCTTGATTGGAAAAGCCATGCCTATATGCGCAAAAATAAGGTTCAGGGTGTACAAGCCCTAAACTAAACCTTAAACCCAACACCCTAAACCCCGACATAATCTATTCCCCCATCCATGCCCAAAGCTTAGGTCACAGCAGGTGGCGTCCGGAGAATTTCAAAGGCCGCCCGCCAAGCTGCTGGAGCACTTTGGCTCCCTGGCCGTTTGAAATCAGGGACCTTTAGTTACCCCTACGCATCGTGGAGAACATGTCTTGCTACTGTGGAGTGCTCACTAAATGTACCTAAACCCGAAACCCTTATTATCCGGGGAGGGGAAGGCTTCTTCTTCTTGAAATCCGCATCCTATATCCAAGACGCAATCCTAACCCTAACCCCTAAGCTGCAAACAAGTCCAACCCCAAAAGCTCTAAACCCCAAAACTCTTAACCCGGGACCTTAAACCCTAAACCCTGAATCCTAAACCCTGAACCCCTAAACCCTAAACCCTGAACCCTAAACCCTCAACCCTGGACCCTAAACCCTGAACCTCTAAACCCTAAACTCGGGACCT